AATAGAGCAGTTTGCGAGAGAGAGAACACTTCTAAGTTATAAGTTGAAACTAAGACATTCAAGCATTCTAAGATCAATGAACAAAGAGGGTAAGTTTCTAAAGAAACTGTAGTGCTGCGTCTAAGATCAGTTGTACACGATATCAACCTAAAGAAATATTAGTTTTGTAATTCAATTTTAGTCCAATCCACGAGCTTCCGATTACATGGAACTATTAACTGTAGAGAATGATGCGTTTCTGTAACGGAAATGAGTGAAATACACGCCTAAAAAGATGCAACCAATACCTTCCATTGCTTCCCTAGCCGAAGAAACTCTGCTGTCCGCCATCTTGGTACTCAACAATCTGTTTGGGGCAGCGGAATTCGGCACAAGAGAACCACAAGTGATCCGTAGGAGAAAATAAATGATAATCAATGGTGAACCAATATGTCTTCCATTGACCACAAAAGATTTACCTTTTTTTAGGAACTTTCTTTGAAGTTATTCCAGCAATTTGGTTTCAAAATTTTCCTTTAGCGAACTACATAAGTAATGACTGACAACCGTAGAACGGGAAGAGCCAAAGAGGCTTTGCTGAGTGTGATCAGTTCTCAAATTCTCCTCAGCTGCATGATTCTTTTCAACTTCGGCTGGGCGCCAGATTCAAAATTATCCAGTTTCGGAATTTCAAGATTTCATTGTTTAGACCTTAGATTATTTTCTTTTTATGAGTACTAGGATTTTTTCAAAACGACTGAAAAATGGTAGACAGTATGTCTTCTTTGTCATGTTCGGAAATTACGCGAAATCCATTCGATAGTGGGATAGAAAACCGCACAAACTGCCCAGACTTTAGTCCTTCCATGTTCTCCATTCAAGAAACGCCGGGAAGTCAAAAGGTGCGATTTTAAGAAAGCTCTTGGCGGTATGTTTAGTTTCAAAATCAATGCAGCTACTATTAATACGCCATAGTTAAAATTACTTTTTGTCTGTCACAGAAACGACGAAGTTTTCGATGGTCAATTGGGCAGATTTCACGGTTGGTAAGTGACTGTAAGAAGAAATAAATGACTCATGAGCCTCCTCGAACTTGGTCCTTCATGATCCTTTGATAAAAACCGTAGTAACTCCCTTTTAGGATAATACGGCTTGCATATAGTTAGGAAAATTGACTTACACCATAACTTGACAGTTCTGTTGAATTCTGCGTTCTTTTGAGAACGCAGAAATTCAACAGGGTTCTAGTGGCAGTAGTGCTTCAATTCGAGCTCTATTATTTTCCCAATGGTTTTGTGTACATTTGTTTGAAACTATTAATTTGATTATCTTACATCCTACAAACACGAAAAGATGAATTTAATCCTTAACCAAGATATGATCTTTATTCAATGAAATTTCTTCTTGTTTCAGTTTTTTCCAATACACAAACACCTGTACGATGCTGAATTTTCAGTCAGTAAGAGTAAAGTTTAAGACTTAACGTTAATTTAACAATTTTAATGGCAACATAGTAAACAAAAGAGAGAAAAAAAAATGCCATAGGGATAGTCCGTAAGAGTCAAAGAACCCATGCTCAGACAGACCACCCAGCTAATGAAAAGATATACATAATAAATATACAAGGACAAAGAAGATATAAAAGTACAATTTACAATTAAATGGCCTATTCATTTGTTTAATAAGAAATTTATCACACCATGCTTAAAAATTGGAATGCTAGATGCTGATCTGACGTGAAATGGAAGCGAGTTCCACATGTCCACAATACGATTGAAAAAACTAAATTTAAACACGTTTGTTCGAGCATAGTTCTTCTTTAAAGTAAGGCTGTCTTAACCTCTCAGGGGGTACCTATCAGTATCAGAATAGAATTGGACATATGTAGAAATGTCTAAATTAATGTATCCGTTCAAAGCTTTATAAAAGAAGAGTACATCAAAAAGAAATCGTCTATGCTCTAGAGGCAGTAAATTAAGTTTAGAGATACGAATTTCATAGTCATCATCAGATTTCAGAATGAACTTTGTTGCACGGCGCTGTATTCTTTCCAATTTAGTAATATTCTTCGCAGTGAAAGGTGACCAAACAACAGACCAGTATTCCAGCTGTGACTTAACCAGAGTGCAATATAGAGTTCTGGGTGTTTAAACATCCTTCAAATCTCTGCAATTCCTCCTTATCAAACCAAGCACTCTGTTCGCCTTATCTATGTGAGAGTTCCAGGACAGCTTGTGGTTAGTTAGCATTAGCTGTTATATATGTTCATAAAGCACATTTAGTGCTTTTCGGTATTGATTTTTTCAAAATATTGGTAATAATTTATTATTTAGAATCCCGCTGATATTGAAGAATTTCCAGATCAGGAATACAGCACCACATTTGAAAAGTTAGTTACAAGACCTCTTAACTAATAATCCTTGTATTCAACAAGTCAACAATGGTGGTTTGTGCATCGGCATACCATCATCATGATATGAAGCTCATTATTTCTCAATGATATTGTGATCAATCAAATTAACTGGCTATGCCCCTCTGCATGTCCCCCTTATATTTAAAACTTTCTTGTTCCCAGCGATGTATCATTGATCACCACGCAACCATTCTTAATTTAGAGGAGACGGAGGATTGAGGAGAATGGGAAAATAAAACGTTTGAATCTCTTGTTCTCTTAAAATTGTGAGTTGAGGTGTCCTAACAACCAAACAAGAATTCCGATTGACTGGTTTTGGCCTTGAGTTGTGTGTATCATTTGAAGCTGTTCTGCATGAACTAGATATCCTTTTTCCAAACCTGTCAGACGCCTTGTAGAGACATGATAAAGATCTTGCTAGTGTTCTCTTTTTGAACCACTGCTGTAAGTTATGGATCCCTATGTTTAAAAATAACCATATAAAAATAATTTTCCCTTTATATATCATGTCATAATTTAGGGAAGAAGATGAAATTGCTGCTCAAGAAAAAATAGATGAGGTTGGTTGACATGCTACAGTTTATTCAAATTCAAGCAATACTTCATTAGATATGCAACAGTATTAAACTTGAACAAAGGAGATGCCATTTTCTCCTGGTTGGCACTTTGGGCTGTAGACCAAAATGTCTTGATTCTTGGCTAGCGCCATAGTGTTTCGTTCTTTGAGTGCCTGGAACTGGAAAATTTTAAGGGAGGTAAAGTTTGTGCTCGAACCTTAAATGGCTTATCCTTGTTTCCATAGCATTAAGCATAGAGGAGTAACACTACTGCCCCTTGGACAGGAAGCTAATCCATCACAAGATTGCCCTCCCCCCCTAGATTTTCTTCAGGCGTTCCTGACAATTTGACAATACCCATTTATACTCCTGGGTAGAGAGGGGGTACTGTGAGAGTATGAGTGATCAAGACAGAATTTCTCCTTACAAAATCAATACAATATCAAGCAGAAAATTGATGAGAATAAAAAAAAAGTATCAATCAGGGGATTGTTAGTTGATCCAATACCAAATTCTCTGAATCAACATCATAAGAATTGTATGCCAGACTGTAAGGAGAATTACAAATGAGATCTTTGGAGTGAAAGGGTTAAAAGTGTTTTGTCCAGAAACAAACAACACTGACTTGGCGAGGTCTTGCACCTAGACCTCTGTACCTGGATTCCTCTGCACTAACCAGAGAGCCATTGTGTCTCCCAAGGGGAAACCCAGCAAAATGCTGCCTAGGTAGGTGGGGAGGGGGTTGTTTGGAGAGATTATCTGTAATACTAGAGAGAGGAAACGAACATTCAAGAAGTGTTGGCAATGCTAACAGTTGCTTCACACTATAGAAATCACATTGGGACAAGCTCTAGCAGGTATTACAGTCCTTTATTCAGGTTATTTTATTCATTTTTCTTTATTTATTTCAGTATTTCTCTCAAAACTTTATTGTTCCATCTCCATGGACACCAAACCATGAAGCTAAACATGTTAAGTTCTCTCCTCTTCCACCTGCTACTGCATGTGAGTATACTTAGGCATTTAAGACAGTTGTATCACTGTAGAAAATCATCCTCCACTGTCACATAAATATATTAATTTTATTAGACTTCTCAGTTAGTTATGTAATTTCAAATGGTCAATTTAGCAGGCTGTATTCCACTGTAAGACCTGCCAAGTTCAAATTGAAACCAGAGACAGGGCTTGACATAATAGGACAACTTAGATATTACAACAATTTCAGTTTGTTTGCTAGCCAAACTGGCTAGTGGAAATCAAAAACCACCACCCAAAACTGAATTTCTACTAGTAGTAGGTAGGTTGCTCAAAATGCAGAACTTTATAAAGAATCATTGAAACTGAAATTTACGTTGTCAAAACATTAAGGACTTAATTTTAACAAGATTTTTATTTTTAGCCGATTGAAAAAATAATCAGAAGGCTTTTAAAATATTAGAAATTAAAGTATGATTTAAATATCACAATTAGAAATTATATTATGAAAATAACTCCATCATACGTAGGATGATCAGAGTCTTTGTGATGCTGTAACCTTTTTTTTTCCCCTTAAGATATTGAGGCTGTAAGTTCAATGGAATCATCCTCTTCATCACCATTGCCATCAACTAGCAAAGTAAAAGCTGATGGTAAGAAAAACAGTTTTAACCTCTTTTTAATCACTGCATTTCTTTGTAGAGGTTGGATTTGAACAAAAGGGCTCATGAATCTTGAAAACAAAGAGAAATACTTAAAATAACTTCAAACTGGGAAGTAGCAGTCTCCAGAATTTAAATCTTCTTTAAATTATTTTTTTATCATTTCAGCAAGCTGCCAAACAAAGCTTTCTTTACCACCAGACTTTGATCTACAAAGTCACATTGGTAAGTGAAATATTTTAAACCAAATTGACACTGGTTTTCTCAACAATTTTTCTGGGTGTCACACAACGCTCCTCCCAAAAGAAGCTTCTTTCAGAGGGAGGAGCATCGCAAGGACTTCTGCAAAGGTGACTAAATTTAGATGTGATGTATTTTCAAATTGCAGTATGCATGTCATTGATGAGAGCACTAAAATGCAGGATTTTTTGAACTGTTATTTTTTGTGTGTAAGTCTTCAAGTACTCAGTTAAGTTCATTCTTTTTAGACTCAGTTCATTATAATCAGGATGGTCTCAATGGCAGTAAAGATATTTCATTGTCATCATTGAGACGGAAACTTTTCACACAAACTGAAACAGAAACTGTGCCCGAGAAGGATCATTTGATGGTGCCCACCAATATAAAGTAAGTAACTCAGCAATAGTTCCCCCATAATAAAAAACATGTTTATAAGGTAATTAATTAGTGCCATTTCTTAAGTTTAATACAAGATAGACTGTGGATTAGGCTTCTGGCTTAGTACTTACAATATAAAAAATAACATCAATCATTTGTAATATATTTCTTATTTCATTTGTTTTAGATCCATCTTAAAGAGTCCTAAAAGTCCTGTTTTTGTAAGTTATTTAGGCCTTAAGTTTGGTCCAAATATAAACCATTGTTCTGATCAACACATAATGTACTTTTATTGTGAATTGATTAAATTTAGTTACATTCGTTTGAGATGGAGTTTAATTGTTGGTGCTGTGGAAGCTGGATTGGAAGCTTCCACTAATTGTCAGAAAAACCTGACAAAATGCAACCTTTGGAAGAGGGGGTAACCTATTGAGGATGGGTACAAGAAAATGTTGATAAAACTTGACAAAATGCAAACTGGGATAGACCGCTGAACTCTAGCATCCTTGACAAGATTTAAGCATCGCTCATTTATAAGCTGCTTCATGCAAAAGAGAGTGAATGTGATTTGGAACTGTAATTTCAGGTGACTTCAAGTCCGGTATCTGACCAATCAACCCCAAGATACACTCTACGTCAAAGGCATTCCACAGCTAGCACCATGTCCAGTCCAAACATGTCTCCAATAAAACCTTTACCCACTCTCCAAGAGACACCCATATCGGCAAGAAGGGGGTGTCTCTCAAGACAAAGCTTTAGCCCGATGGACTGTTCACCAGATGTGTTTGAGTCTTCTGGAATTGAAATTATAGGCGATGTTCTTCCGGATCTGTCACCGATAAAAGCCAACAGCCGAGGAAGGTAGTTTCCAGATGGTACGTTATGTAGAATGCATTGCATGTCTTTGAAACTCGCTAAAAAAAATGTTGGGGTCTGGGTACCACAACAAACGTTCCGCATCATTTACGTTCGAGTCCTTGACAACATTTTTTCCGCGAAAGTGATTCGTGTGTGTGTTGACGCTAAGACAGTCCTTTTTATTAGTTTATCATTCCATATTGGTGTTTTTAATCTAGGAATTTCGTGGTTTTACGCTTGATAATACGTCAAAGCAAGTTCTTTCGAAAAACAAGTGAAATTCGCGCAGTAAACTTTGGGTAAATAGTGCGATGGAAATCGAGAACGAATTGGAATCATCGCTATCAGGTAAAAAGAATTTCGGATAATTTCTGCTTTTAATCTCCACTTTTATGTCTGGTTGAAAATCAGATCAACTGCAGTCGTAGAAAAATTGTTTACAAAATCAACTTTTCATAATTATCGTAGCATCCAGTACTCTACTATCAACAGTACATTTCAAAATGAACAGTCGACTCTTGTTCGAGCAGAAATTAACGTAACAAGCAAAGCGTACTTCAGGCTCCAAAAGTCGTTTAATGTTTACTTGTGGGAGCATTTTAGCAATATTACTCTGAGATTTAATCACACAGCTTTTGAGCTCGTCGTCAGAAAAAACACTTTGCTAAGACTATTTCAGTTAGAGACATAAGTATACTTTGAGGTAAAGAATTGCTAGTGCTTTGGTTTTAAGTTGAAACCCCAACCAGAACACCTTTGGATGAACTTACTATAATGACCAAGCTACCACAAATCTCCTTATCTGACTTCACAGCTATAATTGCATCCAAAGTACAGATGGAATTCAAAAAAGTGTTAAAAATGTAAGAGCACATAGAAGAACAGTCTTTAAAGACTGCTGCTTAAAATGACTGCAGAATATTCTTCGATGCTGTCAAAATATAGCCAGAGAACTCTGCATAGTGGGCAGAGAGTTCTGTACAATAGCCAGAAAATTCTCAAAGAACAGCTTGGCTTAGGTTCAACGTAGGGTGGTAGCACAGGGATGTCTTTTTTAAAAAAAATTTAGCTGTCTCACCTGTGGAACAAAAAACCTATTTTTAGGTCTCTGCTGTGTTGATTGTGAAATAGAGGACTAAGACAGTGAGACACTTAGATACACTTACTTTCAAATTTTGTCATATTCTGTAGACAAAGAAGATCCTAATAATTCAGTTGATGATGGTGGTCCTCTAGAAGTATCAGCCCTCTCCACAAAGGAAGACAGTAAAGAAGATGACTTGGAAAAGAAAGAAGAACATGTCATTGATCATGATGATGATGAAGATGAGGAGATGCCACCAAGGATCACAATGGAGGACTTAGCTGATAATTTAGATTCCACAGATGATGAAAAAGTGAACAATCAAAGCACCGATTCTCCAGAATTACAGTTCACAGAATCATCTCCTAAGGTGATATCAGACCTAGGGGAAAACAAAGAGGAAGATTTGGATGCCAAGGGTGATGAAAGGGATGGAACAAGAGTAGAGAATAGTAGAACAGAAGTTGAAAAAATAAACCAAGAATCAGAGTTTGATAGACATGGACAGGATGAACATTCAAGGCCAACCACAGACTTTCAGTCGGGACAGCATGAGTCCTCTACCTATAGAAATTCTCAAGCAATGGATTATAGCCATACCAAGCGCTACCACAGATCTATTCACCTTAACGAACTTGACGAAGATGTGATTATCATGAGAGCAAAGGTTGCGTTAAGAAGAGCCAATAGGCTATCTCCAACTAAAAGTTTAAGCAGTTTCTCATTTGATCCCCAAAGCTTAACACTGTCTGATTTAAGTTTGAATGGTTCAGCTGTATGGGACCCAGTCAGAATGTCAACACCTGTAGTTACTGAGTCAGGTATGTCCAATGCATATAGAAATTATACCAGAGATAATGACAGTCACCATAGCTACAAATCCTACAGCAGATCACATCAGTATAAAGGTGCTGGAGTAACCTATACTGACGAGTCTGGACTTGGTAGAAGTGAAGGAGAAATGCCTTTGTATAGCTCCCGTGGAATCTCTGGGAAGAGGCTGTCTCCAGCTCCAGCAGTGGAAGACATACAATGGAGAAAACAACATGGAGATTTTGAAAGTAAGGAGTAATTATTCTTGTCAGGCATCAGATGATTTTGGAACCATTGATTTGGTACAAATTATAACACCTAAGCTATTACTCAGCAGTCATCTCATTTGATTACTTGCTAATGATTTATAAACATTTCATTATTTGGGATTGATTGATGTGCTCCCTGCCAATAAGCATGCTGAAAGATTTTCATGTATATTAAAAGCACTTCTTCCTATTTTTGGTTTTTATGTTAGACTACTAGAAATCTAAGTCTTGATAATAAGTGCTTGTTAAAATGACGATTGACAAATTCAACATATGCAAAAAATCAAAAAATGGTACAGTTTATGCTGGATAACTTGATTCTCTGATAAACGTAGACATACTTGATTTCTTGATACCTTGAACCTTTTTACCTCCCCAGTGATAGTATAAGCTGTGGTAGATCAGCTGAGAAACAGGAAAAGTCAGTGTCAATCCCCAGCAATGTAAACACTGTTCTCATTTTATAGATGATCTTTCTAACAAGTTAATTTCTTTTTTTTTCTTTTTTACTGTATCCAGGGCACTACCCGTTATTCTATTCCTGGAAAAAGCCCAGTTCTCCATTATTTTCCTCTCAGAATTACAGAAAATGGCAACTTTCCCAAACACATCCAATGTCGTATGTGGAATGGAAAGCTCTATACTGGAGACCGCCACAAGATGTCTTTGGGTGGAGAAATGGTCACCCATATCACACTGACCGACATGGTTATGATGCAGACTTCAAGAGGTACATGTAAATCACATCATCATCAGCTGTGTTTGAGCCACAAGTTACTCATACCATTAGACTACTTTAAATTCAACTGGTTTTGGCCTTGAGATACCCCTTAAAAAGGTATTCTAAAAGAAAATTTTCATTGTTTTTAATGTTGCATGACAGCATTTAACTTTTGCTGCAAGCAACGGATGAAGATCACATTGAATGATATCAACACTACATGAAAAGGAATTTTGAATTGTGGCATTTTGGTAAAGATGTCTGGGCAGTCACAAACAAACTGGATCTTTCCTTTTTTTTCCATAGATCATCTTGGCCATCAAGACCTGTTTCATCAAAGCTGATCTATGGTTCACGCCCTCTGTCCCCCCCTGTGACCTTCCCGCCAGCAAAGTTTCCCAGAGCAGTTCCAGGGGGATTTGTGTCAAAGATTGCCTTGCCTTCCTACCAAGATAGTGACAGTGGCTACTCTGAATGGTCACGCAGCATCAGTCGGAAGGAGAACATTTTAAAAAGTCAACACAGTTCCTCAGGATTTGCCAGAGATCGCCACTATTATTACTGAAAGAAAAAATAACCCTTTAACTCCAAGGAGTGATTAATTAACATGTAACTTCTTCCCAAAATATCCATATCCAGGTACTAGATTTTAACTTGATCTGACACCAAATTCTTGCAACCAATTTCTAAGGAAATGTACAGCTGCTAGTGAGGAGAATTTATAATTCGATCTTGGAAGTTAAAGGGTTAAGTAAGACCCATTCGATTATAGTGTAGTGTGTATCCATTTTAGAAGATATATCCTTTCTATCAGGCTCATTCAACAGGACAAAGGCCATGGAATTATAAGCAAATAGCTATCACCTACACAGATGGGTGTTACTCTTATAACACGATAATGCATTCATTAAAATGGATCAGTATAAGAAGGTTGTATTAATTTTTATCACACCAAGTATGTGTTAGTCAAAGATCACACCATTCACAGAAGAATTTTTAATACCCAATATTACACAGTCATGTATGATAACACAACTGAGTGAAAAGCACATGTAAACCTCATTTACACTACAATTTGTTTTAACTTAAGCCCTCGCCACCTTTGTGTGTTTTCCTGTTGATACATGTATCCTTTTGATCTAAATGCTCCTTGGATACTTTCTTGTTGACGTTTGCCAATCTTCACTATGAAAGAGAGGTTTGGGATTTAAATTTGCTATTCTTTCTTAAACATGCAGAAGGTTCTTACCCAAAATTTACAAAGAGTATTTGGTACTAATCTTTTGTTTAATATTATTGTTATCATGATTATTATCATTGTTACCATTATTATTATTATCATTATTATGATTTTTAGCAGCCTTGTATATAGGGTTCTAGATTTGCCATTCACCTTTCTCTTTTCTGTATAGTTTTAGATGCTTTTACTTATCAGATTATTAGACTTTGAATCTGTTCAGACTTGACTCTGTTATTTATAGTTTTCCAGACACTTTGACAAAAAAAAAGGAGTAGATGTGAGCCGAAAGTGAGTTATTTTGGATCGTTTTTTACGCTGTTAATATTTTGTATTGTAGAGGATTTTATGGAAATTATTGCTAAATTATTATTATTATTTTATCATTATTATTATAGGCAAATGAATAAGTTTCTCCATTTTGTGCCCCACCTTTTATTATCGTTTGGAGGTTTAAGTCCTAAGTGTGAAGAAAAGATGTTAGTAGATTTACTTTGAAATTTATTTTGTATATTAAATACAGTACATAAGTCAGTCTTCATCTTAAGTTCCTTTATAATTATTTTACAAGGTTACTAGATATATATCATCCTTATCAAAACATTTTGTAGTAGTCATTTTATAGAGAGAAAAAACATTCTTGTTCAAGTTACTTGTAAAAATGTTTGGATAAACCTTCTAGATTCTTGGAAAATATTGACCTGTGACTGAGCAGTTTTTTTTCTTCTGGTAGGTAAACTAGACAAGTGTAGCAGTATAAAAGTCAGCAAGGGGAATAAAACTATTTCTTTTTTTTTTTTTTTTTTTTTTTTTTTTTTTTTTTTTTTTTTTTTTCTGACCACTGACTCTTACACTGCTACATTCACACACTCCCTCTTAGAAAAAGGCCTGAATTCAGATTAGGAAATTATTTGAATGATTTTCCTTTTTCATGGGATCTGTTATAGTGATCAAAAGTAACATTTGTAAATATTTTTCAAGAAATTTCACATTCATTTGTTAGGTAATTTACCCTAAAATCCAGTTCGTGATTCATTTGTAGCCTTGTACATATGTATAGCATTTTTAAATTGCTGATTTAAGGACATTAATTAAAAAAATCCTTCCATTGTAGTTTACATTTTCATCTTTGATAAACAGAAATGTCCATTTTGAAATTATGTTGCAGAACTAGCAAATACAAATCTGAACAAATAAAGGTAATAAATTGCCCCTATACAAAGATTGGACTTCATTTTTCCAACTTTCAAGCTCTCAGCCAGCACTAGAGACAGGGTCACCAAATAACTAGTATGCTGTTCTAGACAAGAAAGTTTACCCTGATTGTACAAATTTTTAGGAAAACCTGAGATGTTGCCAGGACATGTAGAAGAATGCAGAGAGGGGGGTGGGGTGGGGGAATGAGCTCTGGCATGTGCTGGCTCTGGAATGTCATTGTGGTTCATTCTCTCAAAAGGATACCATGTTGCTATACATCTCTTCAGATGATAGATCACAGATGATGTCAAATTAGGGAAAAAATGATTAAGTGAAACACAAGGTGCAGCAAAGAGTGTGATAATCTTACCACATTTTGGCTTCTTGTGCTATATTAATAATAATAATAATAAGGATTTCTATGGCACCGTATCCGCAGGCTCATGGCGCTAAACAGATGCACAGTAACATGGAGTTTTTTTAATTTTATCTAAAAAAAGAAGTAAATGTTTGTAATGGTAATAACATATGTGTATCTGTCCATCCGTCCTCTGATTACTCAAAAGTAAGAACTGCTCCAGATATGTCTACTTTAGTTTATTATATACTGATAATTGACAAGTATACAATGAGCTTAACTTCCTGGCTGCATGATAGCTTATGCAGAAGAAAGCCCAAATTGATCATCACAAATAGAAATCAAGAGAAAATAATCTACTCGTTTTAACACAAATTCACTCACTGCTCTAAACTAAACAACAGGAGGAACTTGTGTTTTTATTATAGTTTGTTTACAATGGCACACCATTAGACTATACACTATCACAATAGACTGCAAATACCTTGACCCTGAACAATCAGATTACAGAATTTGCAACAGTCAGGACTAGTTGATTTATACTAAACTCAGTTATACCCCTTACATGAATGTCAAAGGTATTTTCTGCCACAACGACCCTTGCCAAGGTTCTGGCCATACACACTAAGTTCCACTGTACAAGCTGCATGTATCATATTGCATGCCACTGTCCGGATGCCAAACAATGAACTTGTCTTCCCTACAATTTGTCAAAAGTGAAGATTTAGAGGTTGAATTACTTGTAATTTTCCCCACTTAGGGCAAGTAAGGAAGATGTTAGTACACATTTCTACAGAGTGATCTAAGCACCAGTTTCAGTTCCCTCGATTTTTTATCCTGAGCAGTGAGTAAAGCTGTTGTGGATGATTTACCAGAAGTAAAAATCCAAAAAGCCTTATGTATCTGCCTCAGATTTGCGCAGTGTTTATCATCATCAACTGGTGCAAAGCACATGCTTGAAAATATAAGCTTTAACAATATTTACCTAGGAGTACATTATTTGATAAAAATACATAACAACTGACAAACACAAATATTCACTTCGTAAACACAACTTTGACAACGTAACATTACGAGTAAAATCATGAAATCTAGCACAACTGCAAAAATAAGTTACCTAAAACATAGAGAGGAAATAGTATGTTAGACACACGCACAAGAATTCTGGTAATCACGAGATGGCATCTAAAAACTTTTTTGTCGTCATTTCAAACGAAAGTTCGATCAGATAAGGAAAACACTGACGCATTCATCTGCCCATACAGAACATAAAAGCACAAACACATTACAAAGAATAAAACAATCAGAATGGATTACTTGCTCCTCATCGAACACTGAGTTCTCAGACTTAAACTAGATGAGCAAAAAGAATATTACATTGTGTCCATTCATCATTGAAAAAAGTAATTTTTGCAAGGCGTTCATCTCGAACGCGAAAAAACTGGTTACTAACTGAAACCGCTGACTACTGATCGTTGAACTTCTCGACCCAGGACCCAAATTTGAACCCAAGTGTCATTTAGTAAAAACCTTCAAACGGCTGTCTCCCCTTTGCAATTTACTTATATAATCTTTCCAAAAGAAACATGTTACACTTTACTTACCTCAAAATATTTGGACGGAGAGAACTTTCGATATCATTGAAGCACTGCCTTCACAACGTGTACGCAAGACCAATGTAAACAAAACACTACTGATTACTAACTAGATTAAACCTAAACCACTCCTAGTAACCATGGAAGAAAATATTTGACAGCCAAAGATTCCGTTATAAGAGGCATTCTAGCGTGTGTTCATACGTCACAGAACATCATAACGTTTTAAACATTCATTTCATAACATTGTCACACCCTTGGAATTTTTAAGGGTATAACAGAGAATTCCAAGAATAACTTAAACGCAGCAATTCCATTTCCAAGCATCTGTCTCATTTCTGGCACTTTTAAGAGCCACCAAACGTACAAAAGCAATGAACAGTACTCCCTTGTAGGTTTGTGTAATATTTGTTTACATACTTTCCATAAAAGTGTCAGTTAACAAATGTTCCCGCAGTTAAGCCGCACCCCCAACTTCTAGCGACGATTTTTGGAAAAGAGCTGCGGCTTATCTGCGGGTTTTTGCGGTATTTAAATCTGGAAAATCAGTGAACAATGCCAAAGAGAGATAGTGGTCGGAAAGTGTCGCCTGTGCGATATTGTGTTGCTAATCAGATTTCTCCTTTTTCAAGTTTTCCTTTACAGTTTTTCATGGTAACCGGCGGGCCTTCATGTTTACGGACGCGACTCAAGCTGAAGTTCTGCACGTCCGCAATTTCTTAGAGGGGAAGTTTTATGTCGTGATTCAGAAAAAAGACAAGGATTCAAAGAAACATATTTTTGAATAGAGTACGGTCAGATCATCAAACCACTTCACCATTAGCTTTAGTTTGATGCTCTTTATGCATATCTTATATAGGAGCAGTCCACGTTCAAGAAAGTAAGGTAGGGTCGGTTGTTTCCTTTTTCGTGTGTTTATCAGAATATCTTTTGCCCTTTCTATTGCTCGTTTAAATTAGTTGGTACTACAACTTGATTAGAATAATTTCTTTAATGTTTGGAGGTAAATTCATGTTAGTATATTGAAAACTAAATGGTCTATTTAGCCGACAGGGAAGCAAGTGATAGTCGCGGGCTGATAAACTTGTGGCCTTGCGTAAATCTATAGTTATAGCTAAGAGGAATAGAATAAAATTTTCAAATACGAATACACAAAAACACGCGAATTAGCTCGATGAACCAAAAAGCCTAAGAATTACTTGATTTAAGTAATTAAAACACATTAACCGAAAGTACATTTCAAAACAAATTACTCTTTCTGGTCCCTAACATCCTATTACGTATATTTTTCTTAAAAAGGGCTACAGAATCAACTTTCCTAGTAGATGAGGGTGCAATATTGCAGAGTCTTGCTAATACTGCAAATCTGCTCCCACCCTCAGTTTCTCTTTGATGTTCAAAGAAAAAAGCGTTAAAATCAGCGTACCGTGTATTCTGTGAATGGCGATTGTGACTGATTACCTGGTGATCATCTATGTAGCTTGGTAGAGTCCCATGTACAAGTTTATACAGTACATGAGACAAACGTATTGGTATCAATTAGATAGGCCAAGTTAAAACAATATGAAACAAATTGTCGTATTTTCCGCTTTGAAAGTTCAATAATTACTGCCGAAATAAAGCAGAAATACAGTATTGTTGATCAGCTGTTATCTCCGGCGAGTTAAATAATGAGGGATAATGGTAAAATTAGTCAAACGCTGTGGAAGATTTCCGTAGTGTTTGGAAATCATAATGTTAAATTCCGGTAAGCTTTCCTTTTCGCTTTTTCGAATTCTAAAGAGGTGTTAATTGGCTTCAAATAAAGTGTTAAGCAGATGGTAGTTCGATCATTGTATGCATGCAATGCCGAATAAATCGAATACTCCTTTTTAAGGCATACCCTTTTAAGGGCTAAGAAAAATGAAGAGGCGGGAAGAAAACCCGTAGTAAAAAGGCGAGAGCCAACAAGGAAGTCACAGCGAGTG